TGGGGTATAAACACCTGCATTAAAAACAAACAAAATAACAAGGGAACAGAAGATAACTCTGCTACTGTCGCCTCATTGTGCTTGGTAGAAAACCCAAAACCGGAGCTCCGAGAAACCAAAGTGTCATTAACAAAATTAGCAACAACAACACCAACAACAACAAGAACAACAACATCACCACCACCATCACCACCACCAACAACAACAAGAACAACACGAACAACAACAGCAACAGCAACAACAAAAACATGATAGGGACAGCAGGCTCATTAAGACCATGCCGGTATTGTTTACGGGAGCAAAAAGTCTTATATCGAATAACACATACGGGCTCTGATAGTGAGCAGGGGTACATTTTTCTCTTGCCAGAAGGCTATAGCATTATATATGAGGCATCGTTGTGAAATCAGACGCTTTGCATTTTTATTTTTAGGCTCAACACCTTTTATGCCAGTTTAAAAAACGCATTGCTTGATGGATTTTCCTGAACATCTTTGATTTAAAACCCCCAAACTCTAAATTTACTGTTTCCAAGGACTTTCAAGCTTTGGAGGGCAAAAAACCTTGGCAGCTATTTTCTCGCAAATTTCACTTCTGAAACCAGGGATCCCTTACCTCTTTCAATCTGAAATACCACGACTTGAATGGAAGATAATAGATTATTTTTTATTGATTGCTCGACAAATGAACAAGGTTTAAGATGATACTAGTAACGCTCTAAGCTCAAAAATTGACGAGCGCCTGATTCCACTGCGATTGTGGATATAATCATTTTTATACTATTCTTATAACTAACACACCAGGCAGTCCTAAACCTCATTATTCCATTAAGTGTACGTCGTCTCGAAAGTCGTGACGCGAAAATCTGTTTAGATGACGAAGTGATGAAGTTATCAGGACTTAGAATTTCGACCTCTTACTTGATTTTTTTTTCGCCCTCCCCCCTCCCCGCCCCTTTTCAGCCCCGCCCTTCCTCTTCGTCGCTCATTCTTAGGCTACCCAGAGCGCTCTTCTTTACGAGGTAAACCAAAACAAAATTGGTTTGGTTTTTACAATTTATATCTTAGCATCCTTTTTACACGTTATTCCATAATGAAGACCGCAGTATTTACTTCCTTCGAAGTAAAAAAAAAATTGTTTAATACCGGCACAGTATTAATGAGCCAGCTGTCCCTATCATGTTTTTGTTTCTTTTTTGAGTGTGGGGGGTTAAAATTAGGGTCATCGGCATACGAGACAAACGCAGGTCATTTCCAAATATGGGTTAAAACTTGAATGCTAAGACTTATTTTTCATTTTTCTCCACGATTGACTGAGTCATCGGTAAGAAAGAGTGTATAGCACGAAACAGTTTTATGTGTTGTGTGATGTTATAACTTCGTTTGGGAGGTTGGTGCATGCAAATGGCTGAGGTGTTACAGTCCCTGTTGATGAATAACAAACACATAATCTGTTAACCCCCAGTTATGCAGCTGAATGATGACAAGTATAATCTTATGTATGATCAAATCAGGATATTATGGTAATAATGTCTATGAAATTGTGTGGGTTTTTTGCGGTAGTGAGCTTCGCATGAAATGCATTGAGAGATGGAACCAGCAAGTGACGAACTCTGGAGACATGAAACCAACGTGCGATATGACTGAAGGTGTACGATAATGGACCCAGTTGTGCAGATGGAAGTCGATCGCCTAAGTGTAAGTTTAGTTCACTTTAAGGGTCTTGAAAACAGGTGTACAGCCTCATTGTATTTCTGCAAACTGGACTGAACCATTGACTTTTTGGGGTTGGTGCTTTATGGCACATGCACCTGCATTAGGTCATATGAGCGCGCGGGACACATTAAACATTTTCAGTTGGTAAGAAATTTTGAATTCTGCCCGGTTGACGGCCGAAGCCTACTTTTAAGGATTTTAGACCACCAAGGGATCTTTAACGTGCACAACGTGCACACGGGATCTCCGAGATTTTTCGCCCTTGTCTGAGAAGGCTAGATGTAAATCTTGCCTACCATAAGATCAGGGGTGTGGCAGAAAGACATCAGTAAGAAGGAGCCAAGGATTGGCAACAAAAAGGCTTCAGAAAGAGTCAGGATCCCAGAGGAGGGGGCAAAAGAGGTGAGGGGTGCAGGCAAAAAGTGGAGACAAAAGCAGACGACAGAACAATGCTAGAAAGCAGGACAGGAGGTAAAATGAGATTAATTATTTTAAAGAAGAACATTTTTTTCCGTCGCTACGCGGATTCGAACCGGGGACCTTTGAATGGGAGGTGAACACCTTAACCTATAGGCCACAAGAACCTCCCCCGCCTCCGGACTTTGAAATGAGTATCCACGCACGTGCCAGGGATCGTAGTAATGGTGCCTTTAAGGTTATTTTTTTCTTTGCTGGATCCGTCTTTTGGTGTAATTTTTAAAATCTCAATGACATAATTCAGATTATTTAGGGCATAAGCTACATTCTCCATTTGGTTCAGTGAGCGTTTTACTGCACTTGCAACGTAATTAGATCTTATATGTGCCTAAGGTTAGAGGTGTTACAAGAGAATAGCAAACACAAAAAGAGGGAGGAGAGATCACAACAATATATTACTATTATGTTTGCTAGAAAAGAAGGAACAAACCACACCAGAGCACCCGTCAACCACCCACTTGCTTTCTCCATTTCTGCCATCGCCAATGTAGGCCGGAGAGAACAACCAATATTAAAGATACTCAATGAAATATCTTCGCTTTGTTGGACATGAACTCATGCCAATAGCGTGCTAACGCAAACCAAAGAGAGTAACCGATAATAAGTCGCAGTTATTAAAAATAAAATAGTCTTGCTACTTAAGGGGCCTTTTTGGGCAACGTCTTCAAGCAAAGCGCCACCAAACAGAGCCTCTTGCGAGTAGGGATGAGGGGTAGGGAGGGAGGAGAGGGGGGAGCGTGGGCGGCATTAAGCTTCCTTGTCATTTTGCGGGCTATCTGTCGTCCATAATGGACGATGTCATAATCTATACCTTCGACATCGTACTTGGAGGAAAAAGATGACAACCCATTAGCCTCAGACAACTCTTTAAGCATTGCATATTCATAAGTATCGACGCCAGTTTAAGGGTACTTCGTCTGATGTCCTGCATTCCTAAAGATTGCTAAAGCCATGCCGTAGCCCAGCATTTCACCTTCAGAATGATCTGTTTGTGGCTTCTTGGGTATTAAATCACACGAGAGAGAGCCGAACCTAATCCTTGCCTGCTCATGAGTTCAAACAACTTAAATAACAACAACAGAAAAGACCGAACTCTTATGTTATCTATGAAACAGTTTCTGTCTGCACAGCAATGTATCTGTGTATCAAAATTGTTCTCTCTCTCTCTCTCTCTCTCTCTCTCTCTCTCTCTCTCTCTCTCTTTCTCTCTCCCTCTCTCTCTCTCTATTTTGCTCTCTCTCTCTACCTATCTCTCTCTCCCTCCCCTTCCTCTCTCCATCATTCTCTCTCTCTTGATCTCTCTCTTGATCTCTCTCAGACACTCTCTGTCTCCATCTCTATGACTCTCAATCTATACTTCTGCTGTCTGTCTATCCGTCTTCCAGTCTTCATCTATGAGAGTAAACAAATCTAGTGAGAGCAGAGAGAGAGAGAGAGAGAGAGAGAGAGAGAGAGAGAGAGAGAGAGAGAGAGAAAGAGAGAGAGAGAGAGAGAGAGAGACAGACAGACAGACAGACAGACAGACAGAAAATGAAAAAGAAAGAGAAGGAGATAGGGAGAAGGAGAGAAGAGAGAGAGAACATTATAGTTTTGTAAAAAATAAAAAGCGTGACTTCGGTTTTTATGGCCCTGATAAGGCGTAACCAATGAGTGACCGACAGTCTAATCGACCACACAACAAAAGTGGTCGTAAACACAACTGGAAAACAGTTTACAACTTGGGATACTCAACACGGCAGTTCATCTTGATGCTCCAGCGTTATCTTCTCTCCTACCCCCACCCCCTTTTTCTACCTGGTGTCTGTAGCCTAGTGGTTAGGCTACCGGACTAGTAATCGTGAGATAGCTGGTTTGGGGATTCGGGCCCCAGCTCGGTCCGACGTTGTGTCATTGGGAAAGACACATTACACAAATGTCCCTCTTGATTCGGTCCTTTCAGTTAAGGACATAAAACTCGGAGGTCCCTCCTCTTTAAATAACCTAACAGCGTTAATAGGGGCGTTAAACCTACATACCATTTCACCGTTTTTTCACACCCTTCTTCAAAATATTATGCCTCTTCTGTGTCTCATCATCATTACTTTTCTCTGCCTAGATCAGGATATAGGCCACGAACTATCACTTTCCCTTTTTCTCTATCCTGGACTAGATGCTTGATGTCATTCAAGGTCTTCCCACTTCTCTGCGTATTGTAGGGTGAAAAAACCCCTCTAACAAAGCAAATTAAGGGGGGCTCTCGTGATCTAGAGGTCAAGGTGTTCGCCTCTCATTCGAATCCGGATAGCGACGGAAATTTTTCTTCTAAAAAACAATAGACTCCTTTCACCTCCTTTTCTGCTCTCTAGCAATGTTCCGTCATCTACTTTCGCTTCCACTTTCTGCCCTCACCTCTTTTGCCCCCTCCTCTCGGCTCCTGACTCTTTCTACAGCCTTTCTACAGCTACTCTTCGCCTCCTTCCTACTGCTGTCTTTCAGCCACTCCCCTGATCTTATGGTTGGAAAGATGTAAACCTATCCTTCTCGGACAAGGGCTAAAAATCTCGGAGGTCCCGTGTGCAAGTTGCGCGCATTAAAGATCCCTTGGTGGTCTAAAATCGATAAGAGTAGGCTTCGGCCGCCACCTGGGCTGAATTTAAAATTACCTACCAACTGAAAATGTTTTGATGTGTTTCGCGCGCTCATGACCTTATGCAGTTGCGAGCGCCGTAAAACACTCCCCCCAAAAAAACCCAAAAAAAACAACAACAACACAATAACACACATAAAAAACACCCCACAAACAAACAAACAAACAAACAAAGCACTCACTGTCCCCGCTGAAGCTAAGAGGCCTGGCTATGGCGTTGAGACGGTCAAAGCTTAGAGCTACCAGGGCGTAGGTTGAGGCATAGGTGACCACGCCTTGGCTGTAGCGCACGATCTTGCAGCCCACCTGACCCGCCCGCCAGTCGATGGTGTTCTTCCACACGATGTCTGTGAGCACGCTGATAAGTCCGGCCGACAAGTCTGGGGAGGGGAGAAAAAGCCATGAGTATTGAGGGCTACACTTGTCGCGCAGAAAATTCTGCACAGAAAATGTCGCAAAGTTTTGTATGGCAGCCACAAGGGGCGACATTCAACGCTACTGCTCAGTTCAACAAGGACGATCAAAAAGTCAGAGTGGCTTTGGTCATGGTGATTAGAAGAATCTTTAAAAAAAGAAAGCCACAAAGAAAATTTCAGTTAAATAAAATGGAAACGATGCTTACGTATCTGTTTTTTCACTGCATCACTTGCATCAATATCTGGTCTGAGTGCTAGGCATACATCTATCCAAGGATCATTTTTTTAAAAAGATGTGTTTTAATATTCCTTACTTGTGTTGTCCCAAATGATGTTTCTGCTCTTTATTTCCAAAATCAAACGATCTGTTTCATGATTAGAAGACATGGTTGCACTGGGAGTATTGTCGTGTTGAATGAGGAGCAAGAAAAAACACAACTATTATAATGGTAGAAATGCACCGGCAGTAACGGCTCCCATTGTCTACAGAGTATCACTAGACTGTACAGTAATTACTGCTGCTATTTCTTGCATCTCGTCTGTCAAGGCCCTGAGACAGAATTGACACTGTTTACAGCAATCGAAGCGATCTGAAAGAAAGATAAACCTTCTGGGTTTTTTAAGACTGTCTTCATGTTTACTAATGTTGTTCTTTCTGTGTAGCTGTTTGTTTGATTCGGTTTGTCCGTTTGTATGCCCCCTACCCCCTGCTCATACCCGGGTCTCTCTCGCGCTGTCTTTTTTCTCTTTCTCCATCGCTCTCTATCTCTTCCTCTTTCTCTCTGTCTCCCTCTCTCCCTCTCTCCCCCTCTCTCTCTATTTCTCTCTATCACTTTCTCTCTCTCCCTTCTCTCTTTCTATATATTGTTTCTTTCAGTTCATAACGTGTCTCGCGCAAGAACAAAGGGCTAAATGATGACACAAGAAGTTATACCTTTTTCACAATCACATTTCAGCAAATTTCTCTTGGTAGGTGTTGAGCCCAAAATAGCAAAAATCTTTTCCAAGTAAACTCTAATCGCTACCTCAGAATTACAAAGAAATATTTGAAATTTTTGGCCGGTTTGAATTGCTAAAAGACCATGAGATCAAAACCAAATGTTCTATCTGTTCTGGTAAATTTGTAAGATTATTCAGATTTGTTATCAAGATATTCAAAGAAAAGCATTCGAAAAAGCTTGACATGTTGAAAAACTCAAAAATCTTTGAAGTCAAATTTCTCAAAACTAGGAACTGACCAAACAGAACTTAGTAATTCTAAGGCAGCGATAATTCAAAATGCATCTGAAATGTGTAGTTATAAAATGAATTGGGAGAACTTGGAAAAGCATAACTTCAAAACAAATTTGATCTATTCGTATCAAATGACCCCAAAATATCGTGAGAGTAGAAAGCTAATATTATTTTCGGTCTGCGCTATCTTATTTCTAAGACGTTATCAACTGTATAAAGGCCAAGTAAAGAGCTTGCTGAATGGTTAAGGCGCAAAGAAATAACGACATGGATAAACCTCGCAACCATTGCTGTTGCATGAAGCAATAGAAAAGACGACGCTTTTTTCGAGCAACTCGTCTGCATTATTGGACGTTATAATTTTTTTTACGTGGCCGATATACCCCCTCCTCTTCCCACTCCCACCCTCACAACTATCTCCGATTCGACATTTCAATTTAACGGGTGCGCTTTAAAAAATGTAAGTTAATTATATGCAGATGAGATGCGCTCGAATGAGAGTACATGGATTTTTAAAATGGACCCGTCGACATGGTGTACTCTCTCTCTCTCTCTCTCTCTCTCTCTCTC